TATGTCTATGGGCGCCAAGTCAAAGTAGAGACATATCACATGACATTTTAAGAGATCATCAAAAAAGCCTGTGTCGTCTGCACCGCCCAGGCTTCAGAGGATGCTTCTACGACTCAAGAGATAGGAAATCGTTATTGAACACAAGCCTGGCAAAGACATGTTTATCCCAGGCACCCTCTCACGAGCACCCATAGCAAGGCAATATCCATGAAGTGATGACTAGGACGCACAGGTTTATCTAATAGTAAACAGTCTACTTATTTAAATGTATAAATGAAAGTATTACATCTCATTGAAATATGTGATTGAAATATTTGCTTACATCTGATTGAAATATATGATTACATCTGAATGACATATTTTATTATGTCTGATTGAAATATGTGATACATCACATTGAAATATGCAATTTCATCTCATTGATAGATGTAATTACATCAGGTGGAAATATCATTATTATTATTATTGGTGATTTTATATAACGCTGTATCCCAGACTAGGGCTGGGCTCACCACGCTGTACATACAATTTAACTATCATAACTATGAACGTAAACATTAACATACAATAATTAAATAAGATAAAACAATGTACTTTCACTCCACACATTCCATAACTATTTACATGTCAAGCCATTGACGGACACCCAGCAGCATCTTTTAATGGGTCAGAAGGGGGGGGGGAATCAATCGGGATATTGGAGTTTAAAGAGAAATGTTTTGAGTGCAGTTTTGACGGCTGTGATGGTTGGTATATTAAGGAGAAGTAGTGGAAGAGAATTCCATAGTCTTGGGGCACATAAAGAGAAAGATCGTTCACCGTATGTTTTTGTGCGAGTCTTGGTGACAGAAAGAATACGCGCAGCCGCGGAGGAGCGAAGCTGTCGCACGGGTGAATAGGCAGAGAGAAGATCGGTTAGATAGGAAGGGGAGGAATTCGAAAAAAGAAGTTGTGGCAGAGCACAGAGAGTTTGTTGTCAATACGTGCTTGTACAGGGAGCCAATGAAGTGAATGAAGTAGTGGTGTGACCTGATCACATTTTTTTTTGCCTTTAGAATTAGCCTAGCAGTTGAATTTTGAACCATTTGTAATTTTTCAAAGAAGGGTTTTGGTGAACCTGACAGAGTACATGAGATTGAAATATGTGAATACATCTGATTGAAATATGTGATTATATCAGATTGAATTATGTGATTACATCATATTGAAATATGTGATTTCATCTCATTGATAGATGTGATGACATCAGATTGAAATATGTGATTACATCTGATTGAATGAAAGTTAAGCACATAATAACATAATATTATTCTCTATTAAACATACTGAAATGTGTTGCATGTGGTATTTACCATGGATCATAATATAACAGCTTACTATACATATCTGAATTATATTATTCAGCCAGGGAAACATTGATCTAAAAACAGTTTTGCTAGGTGACCTGTGCTGTCTGTGTAGATATACACATGGGCAGTTTACAACGTGGTACTTTACTCAGGTTTAGAAATGAGTTTACTCAGATGTCTTGTTACTTGGTTTAAGAAAAACCTGCTTCATTTATCCATTTGGAAAATGTCAATTTTTATCTCAATAGATTAAGGAAACAAATCCGCACAGCAAATCTTTAAAAGCTTTTTATTGTGTGGAAAACACTGAATTGTTTGTTTTATTAGAATTCTCTTTCCTATAATCGTAAAGGAACATATGAAAGATTACTTGCTGTTTGTATTACCTTAGCGTACGTCATTATTTTATTGTGCTCAGTGCTGGTAGTTTTTTAGGTATTGAAAATTTCCTACAACCTTATCATTTTTAACTTAATATAACATCGACTATTATAGTTTCAACGTTCACACCATCCATACGAAGAAATAACTAATTTTACAGAAATAGGATATATACATTGAATCAATTCATTTAAAATACAATTCTTATAATTATTTATTCCTTTCTTTACAAAATCTTATGTACACTGTCTTGATATAAAATCATAGTTTTCTTTTTATCATGATTGTCAAAGTCTCCAAACTATGGCTTTTCCACATGGACCAATCAAACACTCTTACTGGCAAAACTTCATAAGCCCAAATTCTATGCATTACATGCACGGTGAATATTAACTACTAGATGGAGCCCACGAAATATTGGCGACAGCAACGTGAGCACTTCCCATCTTCTAAAGTTACTTGCCAAAAACGTGAACTCAAGTTACGCCAATTTAAGAATGCCAATTTTGCTACACCCCTCCCCCTGCCCTACCGTTTTCATGATACGTCACTGCACACTTTTTATTTCACGCCCATGAACTATATTAATATTCTCATGTCCCAACCACTATTAAGCCGAATCTTTTTTTACAAAATACTTAAATTGAGACGATTTCATTTCCGAAAAGAAAATATTACGCACCAAAGGCAATTGCTTTATTAAAATATATATATATTTATTTATTTATTTAGGCATTTTTATATAGCGCTTATCATAAAGCTCTAAGCGCTTTACAATTATTAAAACATGTAAACTAAGTAAATACAAATGAGACACTAGGATATATATATATATATATCATTTATAGCGTAGTTATCGGGAATTATATTTTGCGCGCCCGTGAACTCATTATTTAACCACACTCTTGCGTATCTATAAATAGCCTGCTCGGTGTTTAAACCGTGTTGGTGTTTGACCTTTGCTGGCGAATTATATATAGAGATATCCATTGTCATCCATTAGTGGTTCACAAATTAAAAATAATGGCCGTGACATGTCTGTTTTTTTTCCAACAGATTGTAACATTTTTACGTCATTTAAATTTAATGCGCACATCTTCATTGACTGTTGTTCTTGTGGCTCTAAGCAATTACAGTTAATAAGTCATATGGTTTAGAGCCTGGCATTTATTGATCCCTGGGGATTTAATGCTTAACAATGAATAATGCAGTGATATGTTTTAAAGTTGTTAATATTCTACATTTCACCATGACAAAGAGTCAGTGGAGGAGTATTGCATCTTCTGTTTTCTTATTGGCTGGCTTCTTCCTTGGTTTGAAGCTATTACAATAGAAATATATTTTCATAGGTGTTGAACTCTCATGGACAACGTCATGATCAGTAAAAATATTTATTTTACACTTAAAAACGCACTTTATAATGTCTTTAACTTGTATGATGTGTGTTTGTCTCGTTGTGTAAAAATACGTATATATCAAACAGAGACAAACATAAATACACCATATTATTTTTTTGTACATTAAATTAAAAATATTTGTGGTCAATCAATTAGTTAATTTAGCCTGGCTACCATAATTCTTAACAAATAGAAATCAAATTAAAATAGTTTAATGTCTGAAATGCTTAGTGACACTGCAGTCCTGCCACGATGGACTATTTCCTGCTTAAACGTAATCATTCGAAACCAGCTTCGGGATAAAGGACACATTTTCAAGTTGCGTTTGCCTAGTATTCTATGATGGCTAGGGTTATAAAACGTTTTACAGAAGATAATTGTATTTTATATCGAGGCAATTTAATACATGGCCACCGTTTTGAGGAAAATATAAATTTAAAAAAATATTACTTTTACGTTATGGAATGATTATTGAATTTTTTAAATACAAAGGAAATTTAGTATATTAGTATTTGAAAAGGACACATTTTTGGATGTACATTTTGATGACAATGTACTGAAAAAGGTAGGGAATATTATGACAGGGATATTGAAACTAAGGCAATAGATAGCTGGGCTAGAGAAAAGGAAAACAATCAGACAGTGTTCAAAATAAATCAGAAACTGGGATTTAATAAGAATATGATTGTCAAAAACAGCGACAGAAAAACGGAATTGTTTTAAACGAGAAATGGGTTATTTGAAAAAAAAATTAAATGAAATTCGGGTATAATAGATGGGGTTATTAGGATTAGCTGCCAATGCCAAAATCTCTTTAGAGTTAATCGGTTTATTAAACATAATTTGTTTCACCAGAAATGTAGGTCAACAATGATGAGATTGTCAGTTTATTTCAAGTATCAGGATATGAATGAATTGACCGCTTAGGATGTCCTGGGAGAATCAGGAATCAGAAACGGATAGCGTTATCAAGTTTATAGAGGAGATACAGTCTTACAATGAAATTAAGGTAACAATTACAGGGCTTAGTAAGGATGAGAGAAGAATAGATAAGATGAGTGGCGATGAGGGGGAGAGTAAATGAGAGGAAGAGAATGGATTAAACTAACTTCTTCATCTATTTAGTATTTTTTTATTATTATTATGGATCCTAAATGTGTAGAGTATTACTACTCTCCCATTAGAGTTACCATTTTTTACCATTATATCTGTGCAATTATGAGATTAGGTTTTACACGTGTAAGGTTGTGAATATGCCAACTATAATGTACAGTAATGTCTTGCACTGATGTGATAAAACAGAGCGCCAATAAATTTCACACCTTTATTTCATCTATCGCGGACACTATCCTGTTCTAAGGGTTTTTTTTTTTAAATAGCTGCTGTTGTACAGCAGACGTATTAATTTACTTTGCATTTTGTTTTCCAATGTTTGTGTTTCATTTGTTTTCTGTTTGTTTTTTCTTTTAATTATAAAAAAATAAATTAAACGCATTAAATAAAAAATGTAATTGAGCAAGATATATTATTATTTACTAGAAATTTGCATGTTTCTTTTCCAACCCCGCAAAAATAATGCTTTACTGTAAATAAATCATAAATAAAAATTTACAAAAATTACACATCTCTATTTAAACGTTCGCCAACATACTGGCAACATCTAATTGAGCTAACATAAGTATAATAAACATCAAGGAAAAACACACACTAATAATATATATATATATATATATATATATATATATATATATATATATATATATTAAATAAGATTAAAGATTGAAATATATATAAATCACATGTGAAAATGAGATTAGACCATTTTTAATGTAAAAAAAAAATTATATATATATATTAAATAAGATTAAAGGTTGAAATACATGTAAAGCACATGTGAAAATGAGATTAGACCATTTTTAATGTAAAAAAAAAAACATTATCGCATATTTGCATTTTAAAGCTTAGTTTTCCCCATCAAAATGCTCATACAACTTGCTTCTACACTGTGTATAAAGTAAACTGATCTGTTCCAAGAACACCACATACAGGAATCACCACTGTAATGAAAATATGTTCACAAAATTATTTGTCCGCTTCAGTGGATACTGAGTTTTTGTTCTTGTCATAGGTAACGACATCTTTAACTAAGTCATAGCCATCTCCTGAAATAAAATGAAATGAAAGTTATTGATGTTTAAATCTAAAGTGACATTCATTCAGATAGATAATGCCAATCAAGGATATATACCTATACATTTCTTGCAGCTTATTATTAAAATTCTAAACACTCTATTTCATTAATATTCTTTTTCTTAAATATGAAAGTTCAGCTTACCAGACTTATCTACTGTATAATACGGATGTTCATTTTGTTGTATGGGATCTACACGATCATAAGTGCGATCCTTTGTATCGTTTTGGTGTGGTGGAGGTTTTTGGCGTCTTTTGAACCAGATGTAGAAAGCGATACCAACTACGATATCAACAGCTATCATAACTCCGATTCCAATACCGATTCCATGGGCCAGTTCTTCCTCACAGTCTGTTTTCATTGTTGGTTTTTAAAATACAAATAAAACATGTATTAACAGAGAAATGGATAAAGATGCTAGATAAATGTCAAATATCATGTTCTACAAAGAAAAAACTTAAGTACAGAAGAAATCTAAATGATTTTATGTAGTGCTGAATACAAATATTTATTTAATAAAGACTGACAGATAAACTGAAGAAGTAGAATACAAATACGCCAACAGAATAAAGATTAGCGGTCCTCAATATTTTCTTGTCACTGACCTCTTGAATCTTTATTGTTTTTAACATACTCCTTATGGACTAGACTTCATTGAAATGATAAGGTAGAAATTTAATTCACCGCAGGTTAGTCCTTTTAAAAAAAATTTTTAATGGTGTAAATACTTTATACATTTTTAATTTTGAGAAATGGGGGGTGAGCTGAAAATCTTACAAAACATGCATTAAAGTAACACACATCATAAGAATCCCAATTAGGTTTCCCTTTCCACCCGCATATTTTTTAACGTCCCTGACTTAAATTAATATTGTAAGGACCCATCGAGTTACGATTTTTTAAAAAAAGATCTGGTATTTTATTTCGTGAAATCGGTGTCATCCCTCATCTTCCCCTTGAAAACCAGGATAAACTGATTTTTCAATGGTTATAGTTAAGGTGTTGCGTTGAAAATTTGAAAGGATGTATTATCATTGGCAACGCGATTATGTGCCGAGTTTCAGCTCGATAGGTTGCGCAGAGGAACGCCGCTTGTTCTAATGAGTCCTTGTCCATATCGAACGCTTTCAGTGAGGCTTTAGGGTTGATTTAGAGGGTTTCTTCTGACCACCAACAAACCGCTTGAGCTCACCATAAATTATTCCTTTGGTCCAGGATTCGCCTGAAATGCTCACAAAATATTCCACTCAGCGAAGCTGGGGCTGGATTAAATTTGTAATGTTGCTGAGGAGACCTGCCTGTCACATGCCACTCTAGGAATAACACCATGCATTGAATTTAAGCTCAACGTAAGAATCTCGAGGAGCTGGTTGGCAAATGATCTCAATCATCTGTGTGTGACTGAAATGTGTCATTCATTGGAGACATTAGCAATTCTGCGTCGGATATCAGCTTCTGTTCCAGCTTTTTGCGCACAATAATGGGCATAGGGAACATTCTTGAAAATTTCTGTCGGGACCTCAGATGAGGCAGGTAGCCTCTTAAGATTAAAGAACATTCAATCAGCTAGGTATCTGAATACCATGCCAACATCCCCTCTCTAAAGGCCTTAGTCAGCATATAGGAAAACATTAAGCTGAAAAGTTTTTTGGTGCCTTTGTCGCCCTCTACCATTTAAAACAAGCATCAACACAACATCAAACTGTTGGGAACGAGATCGGTGCAGTAAATGACCGTGACGTTATACGTGTCTAGACGCGCATAGAGTGATCCACATAGCGTTAAAGTATCCGCTTTTTCCCCGTTGAACAAAGAGTTATTCCTCCGATCTATTCACCGGGTATCCACTTTACATGATATGGGGTAATAGCATTTTTACCGATATATTTTATGCCCAAAGGCTACCATCAACTTCGTTTTGTCGGCAAGTCAAATCATTGTCCGTGGTGTTGCCGCTGCGCATGATAAAGCACAGTTGAGAGCTGAGCACCATGTGGGGAATTCCATTTTTTAACTGTAGGTGTGGAAATTCATCTGTTCTCATCCAATACCGGTTAAATAGACTAATCAAGGAGACAAAATACCTTACATTGTTAAGACAAAACTACCGTAGTTTGAAGATCTATTTAATGCCATATGCATTTTAAAAACTTAAAAATCATTTTTCGGATACACACAACCCCTGAAAGTTAAAAGTGGCCCAACGCTGTGACCTGCAAACTATTCAGCCTTGTTTCACTGAAACACTGCGACTGACCATCAAATGACCAGAAGTTGTACCGTACTCTTCTATTGTTTCTGACAATGAGTCAATAGCCTCCAATATGACTCAGGGAGGCCATATATACTCTCCGTTTTGAATTTAGAGAAACGTGTAAAACAACACTATTTCTTAAATTATTTGTTAATCTAAGAAGGAATAAATCTATACTTCTTAGACCCCGTATCTTTATTTGTAAATGGTAAAAGCATTCAGTCACCGACTAATCATCTAATTGGCGCATGGCTACAAATTGATTGATGCTAATAAAATTAAAAATATTAACGTAAATGTTGCTTAAAATATTTTTTTTAAAAATACTACCTCCTTCTTGGTCCGTCAAGCTTGAAGCTTGTAGAGAGAAAGATTAAACTCACATTGATTACCTTTAATTAGCAATATGGCTCATTATTCGAAAGAAAACAAAAGTTTAGTAATGCATGATATACGTGTAGACAAATAAAATTGTACTGGATCAAAAAGTGATCAGGATCAGCGTTTACCAACGGTCACCCAGTCTGTATGTGACAAGATACGACTGTTTGTAAGTTTTGTGTGTGGTCAGCAACACAATCATGTGAAAATTAAATGACGGGAAAATGTTTAATCTGCTTGGACAATTAGAGAAAATAATTATATTTCATCATTTGCCGGCATGTTAGAAATGCTCGTTGTTGCAATTTTACCGAAGGCACAGAGCGGACTATTACATTACATGGGAAATAACTAAAAATTTACAATGAGATATATAAATATATATATATATATATTTACTCTTAACATTTGTTAACATAATCAGTCAAGAATATTTTTGTTAACCTATTTAGTTTACAACATACTATAGATCAATCATGTATGTTTAGTTATGATAAGCCGATTGTTATGCACTGCTATCCGAAGGGAGTAATTAATCTCCTTTTTACACGTATCGCTCGTTCGAATACAGTGCATAATACGACGATACCAAATGATAAAAAACAATAACAGAGAATACGACACTCAAAACACTGCTAACTGCAATTAATAAGTTTTATTAAATTACTAACGAATTACAAAATGAAATAAATATAATTAAAATCATTTGAAATGTCAAGTAACAAGAAAAATGAATTTAAACTTAATCAATAAAATTTAGAGGATGTGAAGCTGAGCTTGTTTTCTCATTTTTGTAATAACAGCTTGCACAAGCAAAAGCTGATTTTAAAATGGCCCTAGCACCCGCTTTGTCTCTAAATCCATTAGGGTGAAAATTAATTATTTTGCTAATGACAAGGACTTAGCTAATGTTGTCATTGGTCGATATTCTAAAAAAGAAAATATCATTGAGTTGACATCAAGTTGATGCTGGTGTTTCATATATTAAAACATTTATTCATAAATCTGGTTTTCAATATTTATTTTTAGTCTTTCTTCACACTTACCTTGGTCCATAAACTGGCCATTAAATTAGAAAGAAGCACATTATTAAATCTACGTCTTTGGTAACCATTACAAAAAGTGTCATTTTGACACATAAGCATACGATTTGTGTTGTATTTTGACGAACTTGTACAAGGAGACACATCTGTGTTTGAATTTTAAATTCTCTTTGTATGGGTTGAAGAAAGTCAAACCATGAAAGCCACATAAAACAATCCACAAATACTTATTACATAAAACGGTGAACATGAGTTAGTATTTAACGCATCCTCATTTCACTGATAATTTTATTTGATTATTATTTTTTTTTTTAAAGAAAAAGAATTGAGGGCTATTCCCAGAACATAAAATAACTCATTTATAAGATTACTTTGTTAATTCAAAAACAAATTTTAAAGTAAATACAAACAAAACTAATCAGTCAGGAAGTAATAATTCATTAACTTACATTTTGAACAGTCAAGTCCGTCATATCCACTTCTGCATCCATTCAGACATTGCCCATTGACACTGTCACAGACTCGAGGGCCAGTAAAATTTGAGTTACAATTGTGACTACAAATGATTTTACAACCTTCTCCATACGTGTAGTTACTACATTCTAGATTGTGAGACCGTCAATAAAATTAACATCAACAGATACAATAATATGATCATTTTTTTTTGTTGCAAAAACGAATATATTTTTTTACATTTTTTTTTTATTTTCAATATATTAAACAGCGTATACAAGATTTAATTTGTCTCTTAAAAATTCCAAAGACTGAAAAATATAATAGCGAATATTGTACCAAAAACGATTTTTACCAGAACTATCCCAAATTTTGAACTTAAAATCTAAAAAAAAATATTTTAAAAATTTAGAAAATTTGGTATGTAATGTTATGTTAAAAAATAAAGGACTAATTAAAAATATAAATAAATAAAAAAAGCAAATATTTTAATGAAATCTTTGTTTGTTCATTTATTAGAAGTAAAAATTAATTGATGCCTCTGGCGGGACAATTATCAAAAAAAATGTTGTTAAAAAGTTTCAGCTCTTTTAAAATGATAATATGTTCACTTACCTTCAACACAATGGGTACCTTTGAATCCAGCCTTACAGCTTATACAGTTACCAGAGTTGATATGACAGACTGAATCTTTACAATTGTGTGGACACGATGTCGTACAGTTATCACCATAGAAACCAGGATTACAACCCAAACAGCTTCCATTAATGACGTCACAAATATTACCGGTTTGAGAACAATTTTTTGAACAGTTTAACTTGCAGTCAGCTCCATAGAAACCTGGATCACAATCTGAAATTTAAAGACCATTTCTTTAAATATTTATTTCATCTATATATGTGTGTGTATATATATATATATTTAATTCATATAATACATTGAAACATGAAAATTATATATTTTTTTTTTTTTTTTTAAACAGAGATTAAATAATTAGTATTTGCCATTCAAAGCTACCCGACCAAACAAATGGTTTTTATAACTTAATTACAGATTTTTAATAATTGTAAAGCGCTTAGAGCTGTAAGGTAAATGGTATACAATGAAATATATAGACTATTTTAAAATATTTTTTTATGTTTACAGACAGACAATTTTTAAAAATATTTTTTGCTAAGAGGTTAAAAATCGTATTTTTAAAAAAAGGAAAATGCAAATGAATGTATCCTCACCTTGTGTACAATATGGCAGCTTTTTTCCTTCTAAAGAACAACTGTTACATTTGCCAGCTACTCTTTCACATTGTTGGCTGGAGCAATTATTACTGCATTTATTTCTACAATCGATACCAAAGAATCCAGCGGCACAAGCTAAAGAAAAATAATGATTTTGATTAAAATTTTCACAGACTTACAAGCAATACATTTTAATTATTCATTATTCAGTTTATGACCTAAGGACTTAAAACGTGTATATAATATGGAAAACATTGAATGGCAAACATTGTACTGCACACGTTATGTTGATTAATCCTAGAGCCCGCCTTTGTAAAAATGTGTTACTTTGACTTTTTAGACATAATCTATTGAATTGTTCACAACGTTCTATAGGTAGAAGATTCTATTTGTAAAAAAAAAAGTTTTGAATGATGATGTTTTTAAAGCGATTTTCATCCCGGGTTGTAGGTTGTGATGTTCTGGATATTTTGGCAAATTCAGCCATATTACCTTCAATAAAACAATCATTTAATCTCTCAATCAAATATTCTAATAATTGAAAAGAAAAAAGTAGCCTGTCATACTATTAGGTCGACCAGAAGCATCCGGTACTTTAAATTTCAGGTTTTGATTTCTCAGACCAGTACATTTTTTTTTGTGGCCACCTTAGACTGTGCATTTTGTATGATGACATTTACAAATCATCTTCTATGGTATTTTTAGACATTTAAATATACAATAATATACGGATTGAAAATGACCTACGTTTTGTGCATCCTTGTCCATAAAATCCAGCCTTACATCCAGATGGACAGTTTCCTGTACCAACAAAACACTTTTCTCCTGGAACGGCACAGTTACAGACGTTTTCACAGTCACGACCATATGTGAAATTGTCTTTTCGACACACTGAATCTGAAAATAAAATAACTTTTATATCTTTATTTTCCTAAAAGTGTCAAATATATTTTAACTCTATTTAAAAAAAAAAAAAGTTAAAAAAATTATGATTTGGAAAAATCGCAATAACGATCTTTTCTCCTCCATATATTAACATTTTCTGTTACAGGTGACGATATTAACCAAGTGTGAACCCATTTAAGGAGCCGATTAAATCTTCTGCCAGTTTCACCTTAAAACGAAGAAATAGTCTACACTTACGCCATTAGTAACTGACTGATAAAATCAGCAGTTTCCAGATGTTACCAATCTTGGTCTACACCACTTCTTTCCACCCATGTTAAACATAACAGCTCAAAAGGGACACTATACAAACAGCATTCAGGGTCCTTAACACCGAATAAAACTTTATATTTATAGTTTTTCCCATGGGGATGAGCCCAAACGACTTTTCAACCTGATTCAACTCGCATTGCATGGACAAGCTCACTGTCGAGTATGAGCGTTCATTAGGAATTGTTGCGACTCAATATTATGTTCATTAGTTGTTGAACGCTTTTCCCGCGCTTGACTATTATAGTTAGTGAACGCTCTTCCCGCCATTGTATTTATGACGTATTTTTATGCTGAGTCGTGACGTATTGTCTATGCAGTGTTGTGACGTATGTTGTGGTCGTGCGGCAGTCTTGAGTGGAACCTTGGAGTGATAGGATGTTTATTATATTTACTTAGATATTAAAGTTATAGTTATTATGAAAAGGAGTTGAGTTTGTTAATTGATAGTGAGAATAGTACGGCGTGATGTTTATTATATTTACTTAGATATTAAAGTTATAGTTATTATGAAAAGGAGTTGAGTTTGTTAATTGATAGTGAGAATAGTACGGCGCTTCAACGTATGAAAGAACTGACGAATGTAATCAATCCAAGAAGACGATAGGAGTTGACACTCACGTTCAGAGACAACAAATATGTGCAACTCAGGAGAAATAAGTGGCAATAACATTCTTCGGACATCATCTAGAAGCCATATGCACCATACTATTGAGAAACTGTCCAGTGAAATCCTCACCAGCAGAAAAAGTATTACTGGACGTTACAAAAGCGTGCCTTGACTAAAAGGGTCCGGTACGACAACCAAAAATTGTTCCACATAAAACACAAAAACATTTATATATATTATGTAACACCCCAGAAGCCGCCCATGGCAGCTGCCACATTCAGACTCGCTAGCTGCACAACTGGAATCTTACATCGTGTGATGAATACAAACGTTGTCCAATGCTAGGGTTCATTTTGTGATTGCTAAAGCACATTTACAGAGCCTACGACTGTTTTTCTCCCTGGCTTTACAGCGGTGATGTCACTGAAGTATACAGAGGATCATGTAAATCATAAGGGTTTTAACTTTTAAAATTTTCAAGTTTATTTAAATTACTTGCTTCCTCTCGCTACACCAAAGGTTAACTTCATTTAAGTGTCCATGCAATATTACCAGACATATTAGCTCCCGCCTTAGTCGAACTATTGTCGATTAAATTAGTAAAATAGTGCATCCAAATTTCGAGGCGGTCGATACATTCGATGATTCAAATATTTGACACAAATCAATTGCACCATTCGATTCTAAATCGTCTCATTAGACCTATAATGCTCAGTTCACACGATCAAATGTTTCATTAATTATTGTTTCATCGCACGTTGAGTGGTTTGTTTTTGTGACAAGATATATTATTTTTTTCTTCAAAATTTGATTACATAATAATGTTGGACATTCATTTAGTACTTATGCACTAAGGGGTGGGTTTGTTGATTCTGCATACTTGTTACTATCACGGGGGAAGGTAGGGGGTGTGGTCCTCGGCAAAAGTACAAACCTTAATTTAAATTTTCTACGTTAACAGTCCTGAAATTTTGACAGTGTCAAAATAGCATGTTCATATCTCAATTTCTGTAAAAATATCACACAACGTTTTGTAGGAATTATCGTTACAATTTTGCCTTGTGTTTTCACAAAAGAAGTCGTTAGGAATCGCTCAAATAGTACTAAGTGTATTAAAGTAATATTTCGTCCACCATAAGTCATAAGCTCACCATGCTTGTGACAAATCCCCCCTCCCTCAGGCACGCCATTGGCAACTTATTTTTTTAAAAATCATCTTGTAATTAAACCAGAGGTGAAAAGGTAATATTCTCATAAAAATATATTTATTTTCCATGGATTCCAATTTTATATCATCATAAAATTACTCTAATTACAATTTCTTTCTACTACTTAAAACATATAAAATTAACTAGCCCTGGCAAAAAAATAATTGTTATAATTGAAAAAACTATAAAAGACGTACGATAGGCTTTTGATTAGTTCATATGCTTTCCCGCAAAAGCATGAATTATTATTTTTTTTTAAAAGACCACTTTCGAATATTTTATATTATGCGTTATTAATCAAGCAACATATATCTGGTATGATATCTGGCAAATATTAACACATATACTTCAAAATGATTGTTTCTGTGATCATACCTTTATAATGAATATATTTTAAAATATTTTTATGAGTATTATTAAATTATTATTCCTTTTTTATTCTTTCATAACTGATTAAAAACTAAAACGACATATTCACAATACTGTGGAGAGTTTGGATCACGACGGCGACCGGCCGTCTGACAGGTACAGCCGGCGCCAGCTGACCAGAGATCACGATTGACGGATCAAGCCATCTGACCAGGGCATTTACCTGGGACGTCTGGTTGGTTGGTAACCTGGCGCCAATTGAGAAAAAGGGGCGGGGTATAATGCGCCAGTCCAGACCTGGGAGAGGAACTATGGGACAGGGAGGAATAAATAGGGATCTCTGGACGGGACAAAGGAGAAGGCAGCCGGACGGAGAACTAGATAGCAGGGAGAAGTCAGAGTTGTGAGATGAGAGAAAGTGCAAGCAAAGTGACAGCCCAATAAAGAACACGAGTTTAAATGTTATCGCCGGAGTTGTTTCCTTATTGAGTACCAGATCTAGATGAAGTTTATCAGAGAGTAAGCAAGGTTTCCTTACAATGGTGGCAGCGGTGGGATCTTAACCTTGCAACGACTCCGAGGAGACATACATTTTTCTTAGCCTGACTAGATGAAAAGTACAAGGCGCGGGAAATTGACAGCAAGTACAATGTCTTCACAGCACTTAAACAACCTTCCAAATTACAGCGGAGCTTCTGCGTGGAACACATTTATTGTTCAGTTTGAGACCTCTGCAAAAATTTTCAAGTGGAGTGATGACGATAAACTCCTCTATCTCTGCTTTTCACTGAAGGATGCAGCTGCGGAATTCGCGTACAGCGAATTAAGCGAAGCTGAGAGGAACAGCTACGAGAAACTCAAGGATGCCCTGGCTAATTGGTTTAAGGACCATCGAACACCTGCATTCTTTCAAAATGTTTTACAAAAACGCACGTTCTTGAAATCGGAGACCACAGCCAAGTACGCTACAGACCTCAAGAAATTGGTTGCAAAAAGCTTCCCAATGGCAGACCAGGCTACAAGTGATGCCATTGGTTTTAAACAGTTCTTACGTGGGCTGCCTGACCAGTCTATGGTGACACAAGTTGGCACTATGGCTGTTCCTCCCACCGTGGACAAGGCGAGAGCTGCCTTGGATACAATCTTAAATCTGAGGGACAACGTTTGTTTACCAACACAGCAAGTAGCATCAATGGCTACCGACAATTTGGCCAGAGAGGTTAGCGGCCTGAGAGAGGACCTCAGGGAATTCATGGCCTCACAGCGAGGGGCAGTTACCCATTCGGCACGTGAAACGGGAGGTAATCGGAGGGCGGAACTCAGATGCTTTGGGTGTGATCGAATCGGTCATATCTCACGTAATTGCCCAAACAAACGACCAGAAGGAAGAAACCCTCGTCGTTTAAACTAATTCGGGCCGCCTCTAGGAAACACAGCAAACCAGAAAGACAACGATCTATAAGCGCTGTGTATGTGACAATTAACGTTTGTAATGAGGAAACTCAGTTTTTATTAGACACTGGGGCGGCCGTGACAATTTTGTCCGAGAGAATTTTCAATAGAATGCAGCATAGACCAACGTTGAATAGCCACCTCGTCCCATTACATCTACAGTCAGCCAGTGGTACGTCTATAAAACTCCATGGAGTCTGCGACCTCGACTTGCTTATTGGAGAGAAGGTTTATCCATGGACGGTGCATATCGCAGACATAACCGACGATGGTTATCTAGGATTCGATTTCCTATGTCACTATGACTTTTCATTTTCAATTAAAAAGGGGCTAAACCTACATAGACACAAGGTGCCAGTAATAACAAAATGTGTAAATTCAGTGATTCAACAGGACCAGTCTTATTCGTTGGTGAGAAATCTGTTTGAAAGAACAATAGAAAACGGTGAGCTCAATGAGGAAGAGAGAGAAAAATTGTGGTGTTCGTTGGAGCGGAATAGGAAAATATTTTCAACCTCATCGCTGGACGTGGGAAGGACCTCTATTATAAAACATGAGATACCGACCGGGGATGCAAGACCTATTAAAATTCCCCCACGGAGACCTCCGCGGGCGTTTGAGGACGAAGTCGATGACGTCATCACCTCTCAGCTGGAGGCCGGCATTATCAGAGAGTCAAGGTCACCGTGGTCTGCACCGTTGCACTTTGTTCGAAAGAAAAACAATGAGGTACGTGTTGTGTGCGATTATCGGGAACTAAATAAAGTGACACAGAAGGATAGTTTTCCACTTCCCCGATGTAACGAACTCATAGAGGTGATGGCTGGTGCAAAATATTTTTGTTCCTTAGATTTGCAGTCAGCTTATAATCAGATAGAAGTTGAGGAACAGGATAAAGCAAAAACGGCATTTTCCACGTTGAATGGCCACTACGAGTACAACGTAACACCCATGGGTTTGACAGGGGCACCATCCACCTTTCAACGATGCATGGAAACAGTTTTTAAGGGCCTAAATTATAAAACTTTAGTTGTGTTCATTGATGACATATGTATATTTGGCGAGACTTTCCAACAGTGCTTAGATTGATTCGAGGAGGCTATTAATAGATTGAGGCAGGCAGGACTCAAACTTAAACCGGAAAAATGTGTTTTATTTAAATCAGAGGTCCAATTCTTAGGTTATGTAGTGTCAGGAGAAGGAGTGAAGACTGACCCCGAGAAAGTTGAAACAATCAATACATTTCCAAGGCCACAAAACGTATCTTCTTTGAGGAGTTCTCTTGGAATGGCGTCTTACTACAGACGCTGGATAAAAGGGCACTCGACCATAGCTGCACCCCTTAAATGGTTGTTAGAAGGAAAGAACACCAAGATTTTGGAGTGGAATGATGAGTGTGAAGTTGCATTTTCTCAGTTAAAGCAATGTTTGGTGTCATCTGAAGTGATGGCCCAGCCACAACACGACGGTGGTAGTTTTATCATCGACTGCGACGCAAGTGCCACAGCTATAGGGTGTACTCTGTCACAGATGCAGTGGTCGGAGCGAGATCAACAACTTATGGAGAGACCAATATATCACGCCAGCAAGTCTTTAAATCGAGCTGAACGACTTTATTGTGTAACCCGACGTGAACTCCTGGCGGTCGTCACCTTTGCTAGTCAATTTCGCCATTTTCTTCTGGGTCGAAAGTTCATGGTGAGGACAGATCATAGCTCCCTTAGGTGGTTGTTATCTTTTCGTAACCCCACAGACCAAATAGCAAGATGGATAGAACTTTTATCACAATTTGATTTTGACATCGAACACCGGAGTGGCAATAAGCATACCAACGCAGATTTTTTATCAAGAAGTGAACCAGAAGGTTGTCTGTTTTATAACAAGGACAAAATGCTGCAGGATCTTCCCTGTAACGGTTGCAACTTGTGCACCAGGAGGTTCCGACAATGGTCACAATTTTATCAGGAAGAAGACATCATTCCATTATCCACCACTAGTAACCAGTTGCCAGCAGCAGCTGTTATGAAAATCAACATGGTGACGACTCGCAGTAAAACGAATCCTCCCGTGAACCCACTTAAACCCCCGCCCGGAGGAGCAACCACAAGTGATACTGGTCGAGCAAACTGCCCTGTGAACACGCCCCTCGTACCCAGCCAACCTATCCAATTACCTTGCCCTGAGTCGACATCAAACAGAAATGATCGGAATGCTGACCGAGAGCCGGTTGCAGTGTTATGTGCAGACAATAGTGACTATAAATTCTGTGAAGTGTTAGACATATCCAAGGAAGATCTGAGAAAATTACAACATGAAGATAATGACTTGAGTCATGTTTTTAAGAGGATCAAAGACAAAACAAAACCAAAAAGAGAGGAAATTAGTGGAGAATCGCCGGCTGTTAGGAACCTTTGGTTAAACCTTGATTTACTTATTGTTGTGGATGGAGTTTTATTTAAACGATGGTTTCATCCGGGTCGGAAGGATGAAATATTGAAAATTATGTTGCCTAGATCTCTTGTAAGAACAGTGTTAAAGAAAATGCACTCGTCAGTTTATGCTGGCCATCTCAGCATAAATAAGGTATTGGATAATGTCAGGACATACTACAGTTGGTACAGAATGAAAAGGGATGTTCAAACGTTCATCACCAACTGTGCCACATGTCAGCACATCAAACGCCCTCAAGCCAACAGTTCAGCCAGGTTACAGTCTTTTCTTACAGGATCACCACTACAAAGAGTGTGCACTGATTTTATTGGCCCTTTGCCTGTAACTAATTCTGGAAATAGATACATTCTTGTGGTAGTGGACGCGTTCACTAAATATACCCAGGCATACGCACTTCCAGACTGTTCAGCAGAAACTACGGCAGTTACCTTGGTTAACCAATTCTTCTCCATTTTTGGTTGCCCGTTAGAATTGCATTCGGATCAGGGATCCAACTATCAAAGTAGATTGTTTAGACGGGTGATGGAATTACTAGACATCAAGCAAACCAGAACATCATCCTTCCACCCAGCCAGTAACGGACAGGCCGAACGTTTTAACTCAGTGCTAATTAAGATGATATCTGCCTTCGTAGCGGACAATCAAAAGGACTGGGATGTCCACCTCCCACTGTTGACCAGTGCGTACAGAAACCATCAACACCCCAGCACTGGCTACAGCCCCAATTATTTAATGTTTGGTCGAGAGCTCTATCAACCCATTCACCTGGCAATGGGGGCTCCATTACCTGACAAATGTCTCGGTCAACCAGTACCGGAATACGTGTTGAAACTTGAACAAAGGTTAGACGATGTGTATGACACCGCCAGGAGACATCTGAAGACAGCAGCTCAGCGTCAGAAACGAGACCATGACACTCGGGCGGTACAACATACCTTCAACGTGGGGGACGTAGTTCTCTATTTGGATTTAACCAAACAGGTGGGTCGAAACCCAAAATTGAACCCAAATAAATGGTGCGGATCATTCGTTGTCAGTCGAAAATTTAGTGATGTGTTGTTTGAAATTCGAGGTGAGGGAAAGACGAAGGCAAGAATAATTCACCACGACCGATTGAAACCCTATTATGACAATAATCCACCAGAGTGGATTTTAAAGCTACAAACAATTTGCCTGAGAGACAACTTCATAGGAGCCACCCCGGAGCTTCCACGAAATCTGCAGGAAGCGTAGAGTGTTCGGGACACTTAGTTTCATTTTTTGGATAACATTTAAACTCGTGTTCTTTATTGGGCTGTCACTTTGCTTAAACTTTCTCTCATCTCACAACTCTGACTTCTCCCCGCTATCTAGTTCTCAGTCCGGCCGCCTTCTCCTTCGTCCCGTCCAGAGATCCCTATTTACTCCTCCCTGTCCCATAGTTCCTCTCCCAGGTCTGGACTGGCGCATTATACCCCGCCCCTTTTTCTCAATTGGCGTTAGGTTACCAACCAACCAGATGTCCCAGGTAAATGCCCTGGTCAGATGGCTTGATCCGTCGATCGTGATCTCTGGTCAGCTGGTGCCGGCTGTACCTGTCAGACGGCCGGTCGCCGTCGTGATCCGAACTCTCCACAATACCCCCCTCTTACAAAACCAATGCCGTCCCGACATTCCTAACACCCTCGCTGCAGTTACATAACTGTCTCTAAATGGCTGAAGGTCCGAGGCACTTTAACTCAGTGCTAATTAAGATGATATCTGCCTTCGTAGCGGACAATCAAAAGGACTGGGATGTCCACCTCCCACTGTTGACCAGTGCTACAGCAGTTATATTGGCACTAATAAATAACTTTCAATCATGCCCTATGGCCATTTAATGTCCATTTATTCTCAGTAATTAGTACATCCCTTTTCAATTCTCTAAGTATATAATTCTTATTTGGAAGCTGTTATTGTTTCGATAACATAATGTACTCAATGTAAACTCGTTCGCGAATAACGACAGTTTTTGTTTTGCACACATGTTATGTGGGTCGCGTATTAATACCCATACTAAATATTTACAAAGTGATTTTAAACTTGTGACGAGGCTTTCACAAAATCGCATCAAATGACGTAGGATCACAAAAATTGAAAGTGTTACCACTTATAAGGGGCAAGTGACTTTCTTCGATCTTGCCTATAGACAAAATGTTCGAATACCCTAAGCTCTAAACTGGTACCTGGACTGGTTCTACCCATTGACTGTGAATGACCATCACGTTACTTGTAAATGATCCAACCCTTTACTTTATTTCATTGAGGCAGACCGTGGGAAAAAAAACCCCACACAATTGTTCTGACTTTACGTAGATGCTGCATTATATGTCTGTGCTACCTTTTCTTACACATTGAGTACCACTGCTTTGGACAAATTTTAGGATGCTTACTGTTCACATCAGTGCTTATGTTAGTTCAACGGTTACATCAGTCAGCTTTAGACAAACTGTGTAGTCCAATTGTATTTGAAATAAAATTGTTTTTGTCTCAAGACAACATTTTCTGTACTTGGAAGTTTTGAGACTTTAAAATCGCATGTCTATTTATCTATAAATTTTCTCCTGTGAGAAGTACAGCTAAATTTTCTCTTCCATTCAAGGAGGCGTAAATAAATCAGAAGCTGCCTCTCATCTAAATGAGAAGTACGGATGCCAGAAACAGAATACATTTAATGATTTAGTTCAAGTATGATAAGCCTGGAGATAGGGATTAGTGTTAATATTTAATGTAAGGACGTCGTTAGAAACTAATCTACGAAACTTACCACCGAATATCTCCACTTCGCACAACGTAAGGACTTTAGATTTGAAGTCTTTGTCATCGAAATAAGTTGCTTCTATTTGAACGTTTGAGACTTGCGCCCACGGATCTGTTGGTAAAACATTGTACACTTCCTGTGGTGACGTCAGAGTATCAGTGTAGTTTTGGATGTTTTGATTTGATTGGTCGAATGTTGTCAGAATAAATCCTTTCAGTCGGGCAAGACAACAATATGCGTCACTTGCAGCTATTAAAAAAAAGAATATAAACAAGTTAATACTGTTAAATATAACAAGGAGTATGTTACTGTATTTTTTTTTGTCAAAACAGTTATTCATTTAGTTATAATCTTCTTTTTTGATACAATAAGGTATTAAATTAGAAATACCCCCTCCCCCCAAAAAAAAAAAAAAAAAAAAAATGTATATTTGAGAATGATACTTATTTCCAGTATATGCATACCTCCAACTCTATTGTAGATAGTGTACGCTTGTACTGTAACGTTGTGATTGAAAACCAGTGTCCACATCGGAGCGGGATCGGAAGAGTCATCAGTGTGTGTACAAGAGTTGTCACTCCAGTTGAGGTTTCCATCTACAGCGTTACTTGAGAGAAAATATACATGATTGTCTTGTAGTGTTGTTTGACCCGTGGGCTGTTTTAGTGCAACATTTCGTCCTGAAGAAATAATTGATTTGTTTTTAAAAAAAACATACGTGTTACCTTTTACAATTCTGGTGGTTATGTTACTGACAGTACCTTAAATTGAAATCAAACTCAGAACAAACAACGACTGTGAGTGTTTCAACAACAACAATAACAACGGTTAAAAAACGTTATTCACTGTTTAAAAAAAATTAGAAACAGTATTAACAACAGTTACGACATAAAAAAAATATAGCAGGAACATACATATCCCATAATAACAGAAGGAAGAAACATGACCCACTTAAGAAAAATAATAGAAAGAAAGAAAATAATAACAGAAATATCAAGAATATAATTGCAAGTAAACTATAGTAATATTAACGAAAAAACAGAAGGAGATGTGGAATATAATGTTCCGCTATTTATGTTAAAATAAAGTCAAATAGCTTGTTAATTTCCTTTGCTCATTTAAATTGAAACAAAATTATTTTTACCCTGTCTAACATTAAGAAAGCACACGTTTCCAAATGTAGCTTTATTTGGGATAATTTTCAGAAACATAGATTTCGTTAGCCATGATTAAAAAAAGTCAAATGAAACGCATCTATTGGAGGAAAATGTAACTAACATCGCAATTTAAAGCCACTAAACGTAAATACAGCTTGATCGAGTTAAAATATCTTTTCTATGCAAGTAAATATTACAAACATTTGCGGAAAATCTTTCAAAATTAAAAACCAAACTAAATAGGAGAAGTATCAATTTCTTTGTTTAGCTTACTTAAAATGATTTCATGTCCTCGTAAATCGTAAGATATAATAACTTTTTTAAGTTGGATTTTTTTTAAACCACATCGTGCGTCTCAGTTTAAGACAATTGAACGTGGAGACATGAACCGTATTAGAATAAACTAACTTTTTTAAATTTTATGTTATGAATTATATTTAGTAAACTACAAATAAAAATGCCTTACCCTGGGGGATGTAAAGTGAACACATGTTGTCGACTGCAGAACCTTTTAGCAATATTTTGCTGGTAGCTTTAGATATGTTACAATAGATGTCTAGTGTTACATTGTCGATAATTACATTAACACATGTCATATGTTGTGTTGTGACGTTATCTGGAAACTTTATTGAAATGCTTTCTTTCTGTAATTCTAAAACATACGGAACAAAATATATAACTAATATATGCTAGAAAGATATGACCCGATCTAACCGGGATAGTAATGGAAGGCAATTTGCAAAACTTGTAACCACTTTTGCGAAGTCATAAAATTAAACAATTACATTTTGACGTGTATAACTGAAATATAATAACGATAATTTTTCACGAAATTGAAAAATGTGTTTTAAAATTAATTATCTATTTATTGGTATTTACGTTCCTAACATCATTTTGTCTTGGGAAATGTTTTTTTTCTGCACTCTAATATACGCCTATACTACCGATGGTCGGGACCTTGAGTTTCCACAAAAAAAACAACAACACATGTTCTATAAATTAAACAAAATAAAAACATTTTTCAATATATGTAACGTTAACGGAGTTCGATTACTTGGTGTCTTCATTAAAAGATTAACAATTTCCATCTTCATTTTGGAAAATCTTAAAACACAGAAATAAAAGAATTGAAAACTATTTCAACCGATCCTGGTTGGGAACCTGATTGCGATTGGATGGCGATGCTTTTGGGATCCCGATCCTAGTTCCCGAACCCGCCAGATCCCATATTCCGGTGTGATCTACTTCCCAGTGGGATCTTAATCTCGACGTGATACCAATTCCAGGTGCGATTCCGATACCGGCGGGATCTTGATCAATGGGTTCCTAATCTCGGTAGGATCCCAATGCAGTTAGTATCCCAATCCATTAGGATCCTATTCTCTGTGCAATCCTGTTTCCCATTTGGATCCTCTTCTCCGATGTGATACTGATTCCCGATAGGATTACCATTGCCCGACGAATCCTGTTCATCAGTGAGATCATGTTTTTGGTGGGATGTTGTTCCCGATAGGATTATGAAAAGGTTGTTAAGAGAAAATCCCCATGATTGTATAGAAATGAATAAAACTAAATTAACATTTTAGGAAACTTTTAGATCCCATTATATATCAATTTAGAACAATATAGAACATTCTCGATCATTCTAGGTTACATTTAATATCCTCATTGAAACGTGTGGAGAATTATATTTTTTTTACGTAATTAATTTTGAAAATGTATATAACTATGTGCACTACACTAAATTTAGTACAGTGGTATTGAAAGAGGGACTTCGGTGGCGGCCCATTCTATAATTGTACTGATTTAGTTGTTCCTGAGATAGGGGACCCTATAAAAATAATTCAGATAAAGAATAAAGTTAAATTTAAAAGTTGTCACATTAAATTTGGTTTTAAAATTCCATAGATATAGCATTTTGAGTTATCGAGCTTACTGGAATATCCTAGACCAGCCCTAAATTGATTGGGTATTATTCATTTTAAGTATATCTGTTTTTCGATACAAGCTATTAAGTGCATTGCTACAAAATGAGACCTATATCCATCAATTGACATATACTTTTTGTGTTGTCTATGAAGCGTATTAGTATATATATATAACTCACATAAGAAAATGAAATGGGGCCCTTGGCCCCAAAGGAGTGCATATTATTAATTAAGTACCCCTCGGTCTTTGACTGTGGATAATCAGGTGTATGTGTGCTAAATTTGTTTAAGATCCATTGATTTATTTAAGCTCATATAAAAAGATTACAATTCAAAGCCTCCGGCCCCAAACGGAATGATATATAAAGTTCATAAATTCAAGGGTTTATTCAGAATGATAATGGATATATGTGCAAAGTTTGTAAGCTCCATAAATCCTTGTAAAGCCTTTGTGGAGCTAACAAACCCAGCCAAAAACAAAATATCCCTTGTATATAATATATATATATAGGATAAATCTTAATAACTATATGTTACAGAAATGCATTAAAAAAATATGTATTTATAAAAACAGATTATTAAGAAAAACTAATTTATTAAAAGGACTAGTACATTGATGTAATTATTTTATGAATGTCCCTATTATTTCAGTATAGATACTTACCATCAGTATTTTTGGAAACAATCCTCAACCATGTGAAATAAAACTTAAAGCTCCAATTTACATTAAGTTCTAAACTAGATCCTGTGAGAGCAGCACACGTTGCGTCATCCCCGTCTGTCATCTTGTCAACTTCTTGTGTCAAGTCACCGTTAAGTGTTAGTGTTGCATTTTTTGCGATGTCAGCTGAAAATGAAAAATACTTTATGAGATACTGACAAACAGATACATAAAAATGAATCTAATGTGTCATGTTATTCTAGTGTGTTGCATAGAAGATCATGTGATATTGCTAAAGTAAGAGAAATGTAAATAGACATAACATTGGATTCATTGAGTTGACTAAATAGTATGACATTAAAAACATCATAAACAAAATAAATGACCTTCGCCCAATATAATAGTGACCTACCGTACTGACACGCTGGACCAAACCATCCACTAACACATCCATTAGGACAGTCACCATTGGTAACGTTACAAGCTACATTGTTCTTACAGTGACATTTGTACTGGCAGTTGGCACCAAACCATTTGTTGTTGAATCTATCTGTGTTTGTACAAGCTATAATAGACGATTTTCTAAGTAAACAATTACTTTTTCATCAGTATACCATGCATTTAAAAACACACAAAATTGTAAATAATTTCAAATATGTAATAATGTAATGTTTTTAATGATTCCATTTTAACATAAATACTAAACGTTTTAATATACAAATGGTCATTTATAGATATACCGTTAAATTATTCATTTTGCTGTTACCTTAAGCTAATGTAACATTGCCTCGGAAACTATTTTCCAGCAAAATACTTTTCAGTGTCATATATAATAGACGCATGTCAAATGTACTCTACAAATTAAAATACAATACAACAAAATTGTTTTTGTACTTACATTGAGCACAGTTGTAAATAATGTGAGGCACCAAAACAAAGAGAGATAAAAATTTCATGATTTTCTGATTTCAATTATGCAATCTAAATAACTGTAAAGAAATTAAAAAACAACACTAAAGGTAAAATAAGCTCCATTATGAAAACAATATTAGTTGTTAACTGGAAAAATAAAATGTTAAATTCAATTTATTATTTAACTTCTTCTTTATATTACTGTGTTTCTTTGTTGTTTTCAAAAGACGATTTTCCCAAACCTCAATTATTCACATAACCTGATATTTTTATGATCTCAGAAGACATTAAAATGTGATGTCCAAAAATTACAATAGTATGTTATAATTGAATTGTTTATGACAACAACGAAACTTTTTATTAAAGCTCCATGACAATATTTGTTTTAATGTGACAAGTTAACAGATTTTCGGGAATTTAAGTTATATACTTTTTTTTACTAAAAGTATTTTGGGATTACAATGTTCTGCTTAAGTAACAGCTAATTTAATATTAGCGCCATAAAATATAATTTTTAATTTTTGTTGTTGCTTTATTTAATTCAATTGTCCTCTTTTGACACGACTAACCAAAAGAAAAAAAAGACAAAAGCACAAATAAAATAAAAATTAAAATTTGTATTGCGGAAAAATGAATTTATCGCTTGAAATTATATTATGTCAGCCCTTTGAATTTAAGCTGCCTTTGTTTAAACAATTTGAATTGCTTGATCTCTGCCATTTATTCAATATGTTTACATACAGGTGAAATTAATACGCTTAAAAATAAAATCTAGATTTTCGAAGATAAATCTTGAAATTTCTAGAATGTTGAATTTAATTTCATTAGTTTCAAGAATGTTATGTAAATGAAATCATTCATCTAAAAATGTAATTACTTTTGTGGGGATCTTATCAAATTTCATGAAGTGATACATTAGTTATAGAAATCGTAAACTATCGTACACTCTTCTAAACATTTGTAGGATTTATTTTAATTGTCATGAATTTAATTGTTTATGTTTTTAAAATCCTGGTTGCAGTTGTGTTTTGTTGATGCAATTGACCCTTCCAATTATTTGAATGTTTGTATAGATTTCTCGCAATGATATATATATTTTCTGAAATTGCAAGATGATTTTATGAAAATAAATTAAAAAGAAATATTTATTTTGTGCCTTAAGATCTTTTACAGCTGCAGCATGACTAACTTAGCAGATTACCGATTAATCGGTCTAATTTAATTGGCTTATACCAATTAATCAGCAGCCAATGCAGTATAATGGGATTTGCTTTACGAAACCAGTTGTGGTTTTCAGTTTTAGGTAATTCACTATACTTTTTTTTCAGTATTTAGCACCACTATTAGTATTATTCAGCGGTAATTTAGGTTACTGGAATAGGGGAAACACATAATTGTGAAATTAACCAAGAAAAAGAACAAAACCCTTTCTCTGCCGCCAAAGCATTTAAACTGTGTACCTAGACCGGGTAGCCCCTAGAATTCCCTATGCCAAACATTTATTCATGATATGTAGTCGACTTGTGTACGTCATCTTTTCCCGAGATTGAACTCTAGCTCACCTCAAGTTCGGTATCACATTTCGGTTGTGGCTCACTAAATATAGTCTCACTTGATCTTTGTTACAACTAACTAAAATCTATGGCCTATATTATTATTAGAATTATGTAGAATTATGTAGAAATATCGAGAAAAGAATACACAATGTGTAAGTCCGTTCTAGAAGTGGTATGTATCTAGATTCCTTTCATCATTGTACCTTTAACAACATTGTATCTTCTTCAGCATTGTACCGGTACAATCCAATCATACTGTAAGTCAATAGCTTTAATTTAATTTTCTTTTTAATTCTGTAAGCCATTATTAACATAAAAAATTTGATTTATTGTATTAGCCCTTGCTTATATATATATCGTTTTCTTGTTATTTTATTTAACATATGGTATTGTCTTTTGTTATATACCAGTACTGTTTTGGCAAAGCTATATACTTACATAAAAGATAAATTTATCCATACGGATAACAGTACGTAACGATCTGCATTGGCCTACGATTAGTGTGGATATCCGCATTCGGCCGCACTATTCTCTTTATATATTTTTTTAAAGAAGAGGGTATAAATTCATTTCCCGCCCCGGAAGGCGCCAAACGTAGCTATGCCACTGCTTATCTACCATGTACTTAGAATCAATCACGGACGTATACCACGGAAGATCGTACTGCTCTAAATTAACGGCTAATGAAATGGAAAAATAAAATGTCTACGATAAAGTTTTTTTCCTATTTAGCAAATAATAAAGTCTTTACAGCACGGGAAAACAGTGTTATTTTTTTATGTACCCATCTTATCATTGTGTAAAAACTGACGTCATCATATAGCAAGAAAAAGATGAGGCAAGAGATTGAGACTAAAGATATAATGTAACACACTGAGAGCCTACGACGGAACCAATTTGTTACAAATGTGAAGAAAATGTCATAAAATATAAAAAAAGTAATTTAACAATAAACACAAACTATTTAGATTTAAATCAAAACTTTTCATACACCAAGTCAGTCGATATTACGGTCCAAAAAAGTAAATTGCTGACTATCTGCTAATGAATTACAATTGAAAGATGGTTATACATTAACCAGATTTTTTTAAATTCGTGGTTGCTTTAGAGAAAGCATATTTCAGTAAGAGGCTTCATCGAAAAAAAACGGCCGCAATAGAACATTAGTTTTTGGGTTCGTTAATGTATTCCACGCATTCATCTGCTAGGCTGTTGATTCTGTTACATTAGTAAGTCAGGACCCAAAGTATCTGATACATTAATTATTGAACACATTATCAATATTAAAAGGAAAATAAAACAATCATTTCCTCATATTACAATTAAAGTAACAATAAAGCCGCCTTTTTTGGCTAGTTTAGTATCGTCAAGTTATCTGAAAGCTTCAGATTAATATAAGGTAATTGTCGGGGTATCAAAGCTAAGCTAACAAATAATAAACACGAGAACTACATTTGGGAGCAGAGTTGACAAGTAATGTGTGTAGTCTTGGCCAGCCGTAAGAAATTTGGCGCTCAAGGCATTTCTAATTTTTGTTTATCTTCTTCAATATATTAAGGGCACACGATGAATTTATTGATCATTCTGGATACTAATATGTAGGTTATTCATTTTTTTTTTTGTGTACAAAGACATTTAAAATCGGCTTATTCGCCAGGGTCTTTAAGACGATACTGACATAGGCAAGTATATTTTAATTTTAACGTTTTCACTCTTTTGCACAAATTCTTAAGCCAACTACTGCTTTGGGTTGACACGTTGGTTATTTAGTTTAACTTTTTATGTAATTTTGTTTAACTATGGTTGTTTTATGCCCTTAAAACTTACATACTATCAAATATAGAATAGGAACATTTATATTTTTTGTATTCAGTCCTGTTTTGTTAAAAAAAAAATTCTTCTAACATTTGAATACTTGAATTTCATTAGCCATGATATTCTTTAGATGGTTAGCGTTGTGAATTTCGGTTATTTTATTAAAGTTTCTTATAATCAAAAAAGCCAAATAATCCATTTTGACCTTTCATAACGTTAACATATTTATAAAGACAAAATAAAAAACCTAAAACCTTAACATGAAACGAATACAAATATTGTGTGGCATACTTACATGTTACCAGTACGTTAGAAATCGTCCTAAAGTGTTGAAACTTGAATCGGTTTTAATGCACGTTGAATTTGGCTCAAATTTAAAAACTCCTGGTCAAAATATATGTCTGAGAAAATATTTAAGAAATAAAATGTGTATGAAAGACCTAATAGTTCGCGCCGTCACAGCAGTAAACCTGATCAGAACTTTGTTATCAGAAGGGTCAAACCTTTTATTTTAACCTGTATTGTAGGATTTACTTCCTGGTCTCTTAAACAAATATATCTTCACACTTTAAAAATAAATCCACGGTACATGATTTCATGACAATTTTTCAGTACATGCAGTAAAACAATTAGAAAAAAACTCAGATGACAAAGTTAAGGAAAAATAATGGTCAATTACACAGTAATATAAAATGAGTTTTATTAATCTGCTTACTTGTTCACGTTTGGCTTCTTTCACCCCGGTTAAATAAAAATATTTCTTTAACTTGTTTTAAATTATTTTTCTCCTGCTTATTTTTACATTTAATCCAGTATTCATGACTATAAGACTAAATTTCCACTGTTCTTATGGAAAACGAAGTTAAACTTGATAAAATAAGCTAAACTGTTATATTTTGGAAATCTTAAGTATTGCATAATATCGTTTAGTAATGCGTGGGTGCTTCATGGTAAAAAAAGTCTACCACCAAGGCTTGATTCACACTTTTCATAGATAGGAGGATATAACAGAGCGCTAGCCAAACTCAAGGCATTATTCATCACAATCATGTCACGTAATACAGTTCTGTGTCTTGGTAGTGATGCTGAGAGATTGATCAATGGTGTTCGTTCATTTATCAATTTTGTCTTATATGAAAGGAATTTCACTCACCAACGGATAACGTATGGAGTATGTTGTATGACGCATGTCCGCGGAAATGTGTTGAAAAAAAAGAAACGTGGAGGGATGTACATTTGGTGAGTGACAGAAGACCTTTTTCTTTAATCTTTAGCGTAGGAATGATCTATTATTTTGATGAGTTGAGTGCATCTAATATTGTGGACAGGAGTTCTTTTTTTTTTCTTATGTTTACACCAGTCATTACTGGTCTGTCATTGCTGTGGACTATTTTTTACACAGTACATAAATAATTTAAGAATACTGTAAATTTTAAACAGTCACATGATTATTTTTTTTAAGTTGACACTTTACATCAGCTTTGTTAGGGTCAGACCACAGCGAGTGAGTTCGAGACTCTTACATTGTTTCTGTGGCCATACCGAGGGGATCTACTCTTTTCCAACGTACTATCTGCCACAGTGGGGGCTTATCAAACCAGCCATAAAAGCCCTAAGCATTTACCAGTTGGGGGAGGGGGGTCTCATAAAACTAGCTCTACCAGTCCATATGCACTCCAGGCGAGCTAGACGTGCCAGTCGTAAACTTTTGCCACAGGTAGGCCCGTAAAAAGAGCCATATTGTTCTTATTTATTGGTCACGATCGGGGCTCGTGAGACCAGCCAATCCAGCCCTAAACATTTGGCCCATACTGGGCTCGTCAAATCAGCAATATCATTTAAGATGTACTCATTCCAGTCAAAGAAGACAAACCAGCTATGTCAGCTGTAACCATGTGTTACGTTTTATTTTATTGTTCCAAGTGTTACGTAACGTTACATTAGTACTAATACTAGGGTTATGACTTGATCTGTTATTAACTATCATAAGTTCAGTCTAGGGTTATGACTTTATCAATTATTAACTATCATAAGTTCTGCGGTATTCTCTAACTTCTATTAATACTATTTATATACAATGACTAGAAGGACACGGGTGCTTCATCACACGAATAATAAATATTTAATTTAAAAATGTATTAATTACACACATATTACATATAATATTCACATTTAAGAATAAATAGTATACTCTATAATAATAATTGCTATTTTACGACTGGCTATCTTATCCTGTTCCAATTAGGGTCGAAAAAACACACACACACACACAGCAGTTTTGTTTGTTTAGCGTATCTCTCTCGCTGGTCACTCGCACTGCGACGTCTCTGGTCACTGAATGGTCTTAATAGTTGTATACTCTACACACTCTATCGATGGGGCACATACGGCCTGTTCTCCTGGCAGAAGTCTATGGTAGCCTAATCTATACTGCGTTAATCTAGCCACAAACCAACTGACTCAAACTCAACTCGACTCAATCTCAACTGACTGTTCTATACTAGAATATACTCTACTGTATACTGGACTATACTGGCTGTATACTATTCTCAACTATACTCGCTGTAAATGAGAATAAAATACAACACATAACTAACTAACACACATATTCTGGTGAAGGTCTGCGATTACTCTCTTATGACCCCTGCTAGTCAATTGGCTACCAACTCTATCTGCTGAGCTGAGCCATAAACATTTTCCTCACAAAAGGCCCCTCCAACCAACCTGGCTTCCTCCCGGGACATCTATTGAGGGACATTCGGTCAACAGGTGCACTAGTGTCTACGGTATCAGGCTGCAATGCCGGCAGGTAGGATCCCTGTTGTTATCCAGCAGCCAAAAATATGCTCCAATGGGGCAATACTCGGTGCCACTAAGCTCTGCTGTCTGCGACCTAACCCCCCACCATGGGTCTTGTTTGCAGGAGTTGGCACGTTTGAAAAGACGCCTCTAGCGGTCGTACTCAGCTCACATGAAGACACAGTCAGGCGGATCGTAAGAAACATTTAAAGGCTTAGTTAGAGAATTGGAAGATGATTCTAGGACGTCCCAGTCAGCTTTGAATTTTTCAACGTCAAATAATGACTTGTTCAAAACTATGTGAAATTCAACATAAGCTGCCTTTAGATGTCTTCTAAGCCTCGATATCTTTTAAAAGTTCATCTTCTGATAACTCAGCACGGAAAGAGTTTTATTTTAGAACGGACACAAATAAATCCTCCTCGATTGCTGATATTAAACTCTTGGTTTGAATAGCCCAAACATATCAGCTGCTTCCTTGACCGCTGATGATCTAATCTGTGGTTCAGAAAGAAAGCGATCAATACACTCCAGCATCTTCCTACGGGTTTCTTCTCACTGATAGAGAGAGAGAGAGAGAGAGAGAGAGAGAGAGAGAGAAAGCGAGAGAGACAGAGAGAGAGTATCTATTTAGTGCTCTCCTGCCATTCATTTCTTAACTCAGTCTTCTCTCTACAGAAATTCCACATTGTTCTGATTTTTAGAGTGCCTTTTCAATAGCATGTTCCACCAAGTGATGAATATACTGCTATGTAAGAGTAACATCCTCAAGCAGGGGTGGACTGGGCTGCCGGGACACCGGGAAGATTCCCGACGGGCCGCTAGGACCGGTGATATAATACAAATAAAAGTCATGAAGATAGGGCCGCTTTTTTTTTCCCCGGGCTGCTTTGATTTTTTCCCGGGCCGCTTGAACTCCCAATCCACCCCTGTCCTCAAGTAGATAAACGTAAAATCAAACACAGCATGTAAAAACCTTGTGCTGTATGACAATCGTGCTCAAATGTTAAGAAGCGGTGATAATGGCGAAAAGGCGAATATATTTATTTTTAAAAATATTTCTGAGTTTTAATATATTTAATTAAAACTAATAATAATAAATAAAAATTAATATAATTTTTTTTTAAAACTAAACTATTCTAGAAATATTATTAGACAATTATTTTTTTTCAAATAGTATTATGTTAACCCTTTAAATGGATAAAAATAAATTTTAATTTTTTTTTTTAAATTCTCCCTTATCGATTCAAGCATTTAGAATCACCCGATCACATCGTATTTGGTATCAAAGGAAATTTTTATTTCTCAGAATTTAGATTATATATATATATAGCTTCCTGTTACATACGAAAGTTACCGAACGCTTCAATCGGCTTTGAATCATTGTAAAAACAGTGTTTTTCTGACCTATTTATAGGGTCGCCTCATTTCTTGCTCATTAACCTTGAACTATTAATAAAGCACGCATTTGAATCAGTTACATATTTGTAAAATTTACCTGTGATCTGTTATCCGTATTTGAAATTTGGTTAGATCATGGTTACATAAACTTCTTTTGCTTAATAGTGTGAACAAAAACTAAAATTTGATTGGTCAACAGTCTCTGTTTTAAAAACAAAATCAATTTTATTCCAGTTTCTCCCAAGTCCTAGCACGCTGTATATTATACAAAAAATATTAACCATATTACTGCTCTCACATTAGTGTTCACAGATTCATATATGTCACAGTATTGGAACGTTTTACACGTGATAGGCTGTGGATATGCCAGCTACAATCTATCCTTTACCACAACGTCGTGCCCAGATGTGATTAAACTCAACGCCGAACAATTTCCCACATTTATTTCACCTTTAATGAGGAAACTGTCCTGTTGCAATGTATTTTTAAAAAAAAACTGCCATTCAGGGGCATACTGCCATTTATTTATTATACATTTATTTGTTTCACTGTGTTTGTAATGATTTTTTCAATTATGAAAAATAACAAAAACTGATACAAATGTAATTAAGTAAAATATATTATTATTTACTATTATTATTTACTAGAGTGGTTCATGTTTCTTTGCCCCAACCCACAAAAAGATATATATATAAATAATAAGATAAACGAAAAAAAGAATAAAGTGTTAAATGTTTTCCTAGCAACTGGCACCATCGAATCGAACAAACATAAAAATAATAAACATCACGGGGACACACACATACATACCAACAGACACAAATTATATAATATTTGTTAAGCATGTTAACTAAGATTAAAAGTTGTATTACTTAAAAAAAATATTGAACACATTTTAAGAAAAGATAATGTTAAAGTAAAAATATTATTATACATTCGCATTTTTAACGTTAGGCTTCCCCATTAAAAACACTCATATTTTTTAATTTTTTACATTGTATACATTGTAAACTGTTTTGTTCCAACTACATGTCATACAGCAGTCATCACTTTATGAACATTTCATACAAGAATTATCACTCAAAGAACAGGCCATACAGGAATCATCACTTTAATGAAAATATTTTCACAACTTTATTTTTCCGCTTCTTTCGATACTGAATTATTGTCGTTGTTATAGGTAACAACATTTTTAACTAAGTCATAGCCATCTCCTGAAAGAAAACAAAATTGAAGTAATTTATATTTAAACATCAAGCTACATTTATTCAGTTTGTTCATCTCAATCAAGAATCTATACTCTTATATATATATACATTTTTATTGCACGTTATTACTAACATTTCCGAACTTTCTATTTCAATCAATATTATTTTTTTTAAATTAGAAAATTAAGCTCACCAGACTTATCTACTGTATAATACGGATGTTCATTTTGTTGTATGGGATCTACACGATCATAAGTGCGATCCTTTGTATCGTTTTGCTGTGGTGGAGGTTTTTGGCGTCTTTTGAACCAGATGTAGAAAGCGATACCAACTACGATATCAACAGCTATCATAACTCCGATTCCAATACCGATTCCTCTGGCCAGTTCTTTCTCACAGTGTGTTTTCATTTTTGGTTTTTAAAGATATAAAAAATAAATGTTTCGATTGAGAAATTTACATAGATACTACATAAATGTGAAATGCTGAACTACATAATATTCTAAGGTTCCACCCTCTTGACACCGCAGATGTATTTTAGCAATTTTTCAGAAAAAAAAAAAAAAACTATAGAAAACATTGCGCATCAAACTCATTTGCTATCTTTTTTTTAAAGATCTCATCTTTCGCTTTTATATCGAATTTTAAGTTGTGAAATCAGTGTCATCATATTTTCTTCAACTTCCCTCGAAAAAACAGGAAAAACTGATTTTAGTAGTTTGGTTTGCGGGGTTGAGCTGAAAACTTGAAAGTATGTGTTGTCATCGTCAAAGAGACTATGTGTCAGATCTCAGATCAATATGTGATACAGAGGAACGATGTACGGTGCTTTGCCGCTTCTTCCCCTGTTTCCCTGTTAAACGCGTTCAGGTAGGCTTAGGGGTGTCTTTAAAGCGTTTCTTCTCACCACCAGCAAACCGCTTAAACTAACCATAAAATATGCAATTGGGCCAGCGGTCGTCAGATATTCTAACGATATGTCCCACCCAGCTAAGCTGGAGCTGCATTAAATTTGTAAGGATGGCCCGGGGAGCCCTGCCTGTGCGAGTCCAAAAGTGGCTTGGAGTTTCTCCTGGCATTTTATGTTCAAAATTTTTTTGAGACTTGTCACATGAAAGTAACTCAATATTTTTGCAAAGGCGTTGATAGACCTTCACGTTTCACAGGCATTGAGAAACGCGGGCATTGTATACCTTCAGTTTAGTTTGAGTGCTTCTTACATACATTCATAGACAGTGTACCATAAGAACCTTATCTTATCTTGTTGTATCTTATCTTATGCGTATCTTGCCTTATAGATGATAAGTTTATTGCAAGATGCCAAGAAATAGCATTAGTGTTACACGCCACAGTGACATTTGTGGGTGAACAATACTATAACACATACACAACGAATAAAAGTTAAAAGTAGCACAATGACGTGTGCTGCAAACTTTTCAACCTTTTTTCATTCATGCACTGCTACTGACAATCACATGACCAGCAGTTAAACATGGTCTCCTATTGTTTCTAAACCTAAAGTATATGCCCCCCCCCCCAGATGTCTCAGGTAGGCCAAATCTACTCTCAATTTTGACTTTACAGAGATTACTTTAAGAAAGAGACACTATTTCTTAAATTATTTGACGGATCATTCTGACCACTTCGTAAGTAAAACGTATGCTAAGTACATGTCCGTTTGTTGAGTGCATTTCTCTTGCAATACTAAGTTTGACCATGCACTGCGACTGACCATCACATGACCATCAGTAACCTTACTAGCCTTTTATTTCTGACGCTGAAGTAAATGCCTTCCAATATGTCTCAGAGAGGCCTAATCTCCTCTCCATTTTGAATTTAGATAAACTCGTGAAAAGCAACAATGTTTCTTAAATTATTTGTTACTTTAAGAACAAATAAAGTTGTACTTCTTATGACCCCTTATTTTGAATTGTAAATCTTAAATACTTTCAGTCACCCACCACTCATCAAATCGACACACTGCTACACATATTAAAATACAATTAAAGTATTAACATAAATTAGTTGGTTAAAATAAATCTTTAAATACAAGACAAGTGTTAATTACCTCCTCCTTGGTCCATCGAGCTTGAAGCTAGTAAAGAGAAATATTTAAATTCAAAATGAATTCTTTTAATGTACATAACGATTAAATATTTGAAAGAAAACCAAAGCTTAATAATGCATGTTATGTGTGTAAACGAACATATTTTAAGTACTGGATGTGAAACTGATGAGGAACAGAATTTACCCTCGATCACCAATCTCTCATTTCATAAGATGCGACTGTTAGTAACTTTTGTGTTTGGTCAGTAACCCAATCATGCTCAAATTAAATGACAGAATCAAATGTGTATGGTGTATAAGAGGGGAAAAAAAGTTTAATGTGTTTGGAAATTTAGAGAAGATATATTACATGATTAGCCAACATGTTAGTGTTGCTTGGTGTTGCAATTTGACTGAAAGCACAGGTGGACTGTTACATTACATGGGAAAAAACAAATTAAACATTTAAATCGGAATATAGATGAAATAACGTTTTTTTAATTGTTTTTGGCAGGAGGGGGGGGGATTCGAAGATCACAATATTTTTTTTTAATTATATTTTTTTGATACGTTTCATAAAAGGAATAAATATATGAATTTATATTTAAGTGTTTTAATGTTATTTAAAATATTTCAATTAATTTTAATTTCTTTACCTAAATACGTTTTGAAAAACGAATAATCTTCCTGTTAACTTACAGTCGTGGGAAATGTGGAAGTTGAAATAGTCAATATACAAAATTTGATTGAAAATAAAATAATAATTGTTTTAAACTTTTGACAATTTTAATTTATTTTCGAATTTGGCTCAGATCCTTTTAAAATAGATAAACTATTAATTATTTGTTAACATGATTTTTTACCATTCGTATGTTGACATATTTTGTTCAGAACAAGATAAATGATTTAGAATTTATTGATGTTTATGCTAAACTGACATAAAAAATCCTTATGTAATGGAAACAATATAGAAATAGACATCATCCGAAATTTCAAATAACAAGATAAACGGACTTAAAATGTAATGAATAAAATCTATGTTATGCTTGTTTTATCATCTTAGTAATAATAGTTTTAACAAGAAAAAGCTTATTATTTTTAAATAGCTTTTGTAACCGCTTTTTCTTTAAATCCATTACGATGCAATACACCTTTTACTAATGGCAATGACTGAGCTAATGCTATCATTAATCGACAGGCTTTAACAAATATTTGTGAGTTGGTATCTAGTTGATGATGGTGTTCCTTATATTAAAACAATTGATCATAAATATTATTGTCAAAAATTTTTTAAATCTTACTTAACACTTACTAGGGTCCATAAAAATGACCACTAAATTAGAAAATAGCACATTATTATATCAGCGTCACTGGTAACCATTTCCTAAAGCGTCATTCAAAACATATGCATGGAATTTGTGTTGTATTTTGATTAAATTGTACAAGGAGACATCTCTTTGTTTGAAGTTTCAACTCTCTAGGTATCGGTGGAACAAAAGACAAACCATGACAGTCAAGCAAGTCAAATCACAAATTACAAATAAATTAAATGCTGAACGTAAGTATTTATTATATTCCCATGTCACATTTAATATTTTTTTAGGAGTTTTGTGGTGGGTTCCCCTAACATAGTAACTGGTGTAAACGATTAATGTGTAATTAAAAAAAAAATGAAAGTAAATACAAAAAAAAATAATCAGTTAGGAAATAATAATTCATTAACTTACATTTTAAACAATCAAGTCCGTCATATCCACTCCTGCATCCATTCAAACAATGGCCATTGGCACTGTCACAGACTCGAGAGCCAGTAAAATTTGATTTACAGTTTTGACTACAAATGAATTTACAACTTTCTCCATGCGTGTAGTTACTACATGCTAGAATTATGAGACAGTCAATGAAATTGATATCACCAGTTATAATAATCAGAATAACTTTTGCCAAAAGAAAATAATTATAATAAATATCTTTCTTTTGGATATTTATTATAATTATTATATTTTCAATTTGATATTGCGCAGAGAAAAAAAAATCGATTCCCTCATTATTGAGCAATTAAAATTTTAATAATAATCCAAAACTTAACAGTATAAAAGAGCAAAAATGTAACAAAACTGTTTATATAAGAATTACAATTGTTTAAAAAATACATAATTTTTTTTTTTTTAAATAAAAAAGAAAACTTTGCATAAAACAGGGTATGTAATTTTAAATTAAAAAATAAAAGAATTATTTAAATATATCAATGAAAATTCGTAAAGGAAATATTTTTTTGTTGATTTATTAGAGTTAAAAAGTAAAAAAGGCCTCTATTGGGAAAATTATGATAAAATATGTTGTTGAAGAGATTTATTTCTTTTACAATCATAGTATTTTCACTTACCCTCAACACAACGATCACCTTGGAATCCAGCCTGACAGCTTGTACAGTTACCAGAGTTGATATCACAGTCGGAATTTTTACAATTGGTGGGACAAGATATCATACAATTAGCGCCATAAAAACCAGAGTTGCATTTGGTACAGTTTCCAGAATTGATTTCACATGCAGCTTCCTTACAACTATTGGAACACGGAATGAAACACTCACTGCCATAAAATCCAGATTTACAACTAAAACAGTTTCCAGTCTTAATGCTGCAAACTGAATCTTTGCAGTTTGGTGGACAGGGCGTGATACATTTGTCACCATAGACACCAGGATTACAGCCAAAACAGCTTCCATTAATGACGTCACAAATATGACCGGCTGAAGAACAATTTCTTGAACACTTTGACTTGCAGTCGGCTCCATAGAAACCAGGATCACAATCTGAAACGTCGAGACATCTTCAACATCTGATTTCTTCGATACGAAATCTTTACTTTGAAATGAACCCATGATTATATCTCCGTTTGATGTAATTTTTAAATAAATATAAAGTTCTATAGTTAAGTAACGAAACATTTTTTTTTTAAATTTAAGTAACTTTAATGTTTCTCTCTCTCTCTCTCTCTCTCTGAATATATAAATTTATATATATATATATATATATATATATATATATATATATATATATATATATATATATATACAAATGAGATCAGAAGAAC